ATTATGTGATGGTATTATCTCCATAAATTAAAAAAGAAAACAATGATACAGTATCTCAGAAATTCTAGAAAAATCACTTCGTATAAGTTGCTTTAAATAAACAAAGAAAAGCTCACATATAATAGTAAGAAAAATCGAATTACAAAATAGGAGGACAGATAGGTTTTTACAATTTCAATGTCGGTGTTAAAAAAAAATAGTATTCTACAATTTAACAAATCAAGCAATTATTTCTAATAATATTATATTTACAGAATTCTGGAAATTGGCGAGTGCAACCCTTTTTTTCTTCATATTTTACTGTATTCAAAATAAAATACACTAGTCAAAAAAATAAAATAAAATAAAAATCATTTGGATCGCTTAATACCTTTCCGCCATGTTAAACATTTTATATTTCTGAATAATGTTAAGTCCTATCTAATTCTATGTATCAATTACCTAGAATAAGTAAACAAATTGTCAAATACAGATGGCCAATGGGCAAGAAATGTTCCAAATATCAATTTATAATGACTGCATTCCATCTACAATGTTGTATTAAGGATTAGTTGAGATTCTTGTATCATTTTGCCAATCGTGCTATTATGTAACAACTAATCAAAGTTACAAGTGTTGAGGTCTCAACTGCTTAATTATGATATGAGTTCAAAATGCTGTGACCCCTACATGGTACATAAAAGACAACTCACCAGTGTTTTTCCTAATCATAATTCATAACTAGCGGGGATGGATCCGGGATTTTTTGTAGGGGAGCTGAAAGTACTTAACAAAGCCAATATTCAATTTTTTCCACCTCTCACGCCAATAATTAGAACTTTCAAAATGAAAAGGTTCCTGAGAGACTAAATAACATAGGCAACAAATTCATTGTCAACTAAACAATATCTTTTTTTGTATTGGGTTTGGTTAGTGATACTATCTATTGAAAAATCTAGGTGTAGAAAAAGTAAAAAAAGGGACTTCAAAGAAATACACTTAAATTGACACCATTTTGAAATGCCAGTATAAAAGTAAAGGCATATCACTAATTACGTTCTAATTACCTTGTAAACCGTATTGTTTAGTGTTAACAAGCATACAAATAAATGCCTCAACGAGAAGAATAATCAACATCCCCAAACTCAAAACCTAGACTGGAGAAGAACAATAAACATCCCAAAACAAATAAGTGCATCCTCTTGAAAATGAAACCACATGTTCCTCCACAAGTTCAATCACAACCTTCATTTTACCAAAATCTCGCTCCGCTTACAATGATAAACTTAGATCTTTTACATATAAAAATATGAGGAAATGTAGGTATGAAAATGAAATAAGCTTCTTTTTCAAAATCTGAATTTGACATATTCAAAAGCCGACAATAAATTTGTAGTGATTGTACATGTTCGTAGTTGATTGAAGATTTGATCTGTAAGCAAAATGACAAAATATGTTCTTTGTTGTTTAAGAACTTAAGATTTATATCAGCAAAAGGCCCAAATGTGGAAATTTGAAAGAGGAACTGGAAGAAATTTGGAAAGGGGAACTTGAAAAGGTTTAGGTGATGTTCTTTTCGTGTTTCAGTTTTGTGTTTTGACTTTTGATTTCATTTTGTGTTTTGTGTTTTGAGTGTCTGTTTTGAAATTTCTGAAAATACATTTTTTTGACATTCTGAGAAACGGTTTCTCAAAATAGAAAAATGAAAAACGCGTTTACTTTGAAATTTTTTTTAATAATGTTTTATTCAAGAAATCTGATTATTCAATAAATTTTAAAAGTTTAATGTTCATATAGTATTAAATAACATATAAAATTTGAAGTTGGTGAATCTTAAAATATTTTTTTCCTGATATAAAAAACACAACCTAAATTAAATTAGGCAAAACATGTCAATCGATACAATTAGAAATGGGACAGATAACTCTTATCACTCATTTAAACTATTTGTGTATCGTGTTGTTGGAATGTTAAAATTATCATTTTATCTCGTTTAAAATTAATAAAAATGATGAAAAAAGTTTGGTAAACATAGTGAAATATTATATAAAATTGAATAATCCTAATAAAACATTATATGAAATTAAATGACCATGACACTAAATATAAAATTAAGTAATCACGATAAAACAAAATTAAATTAAATAACCATGATAACACTGAGTATAAAATTAAGTGTTCAATGATGAATTTAACACTCAAATAAACCAAAAGAAACAAGAAAAAATTCAAGAACTAAAACAAGGGGTTTTACTTTTCATTCGTGGATTCAAAGAAAAATGACAACATCTTACAATCTTAACTCTCTCCAACCTAATTTTTCTAAAAACTCATTCTAAGGTTAAGCTAAATACATGATAAAAGTTTTATCAAGTAAATTCTTATTGAACTAGGTACCAGCCTTCTTAGGGGAATTGGTAGCCTTTGAGGGTGATTTTGGTTCTTTGTTTGCACCAGTCTTCTTTGGCAACAATACTGGGTTAATGTTCGGAAGCACTCCACCATGAGCAATGGTCACTCCTTGCAGCAATTTTCCAAGCTCTTCATCATTCCTCACAGCCAACTGATTATAAGGAATTTGGTTCATGTTTCTAGAAGGAATTTTGATGGTCGACCCAAAAAACTGTCGAGTTCTCAATCTGGTGCTTAAATTTATTGTTCAGAAATGCAAGGACGAGAATTTTGCATCAGTTTTCTCAAAGCAAAACAGTCCAAACCAGAAAGTGCGTCGCCTATCTGTTCAGAGTGCTTGCACTTTTTCGTCAATGAACATTCAGAAAGTTCGTTCCATGTCCCTCTTCAGCTATGATAATATTTCTCCCTCTACTATTGAAAACAAATTTCAAGACTTGAGATTGCTAAGAATCTCGAACATGCAAGGTTCAGCTCTGATAGAATTTCCAAAAATATTTGAAATAAAGGTGATTCCCAAGTCCATAAAGAAGCTTTATTACCTTGAAACATTGGATCTTAAGAGGACTAACGTGGTCAAGCTTCCAAAAAAAATCCGTGCACTGAAGAATCTCCGGCATCTCTTCACTAGCCAAAAAACTGTGAAGAATTTTATAGATTTCGACTCTATGTGAGGAGTTAAGGTATTTGAAGGGATTGAAAACTTAACTAGTCTTCAGACATTGTCTCTTTGTGAAGGTTGGCAAAAGTGGTAGGATCATACAAGATTTAAAACATTTGAGCCAACTTTGGAAGCTGGGACTTACTCGGATCCCAGAAGAATTTAGCAGAGACTTGTGTGAATCCATCGAAAAGATGGAGAATCTGAACTGTTTGGATCTATGTACAACCACTAAGAAAGAGTATCTTCAACTGGGTGAATTGGTCAATCATCTTGTCTCTCTTCAGCGGCTATACTTGAAAGGGCGCCTCGAAGAATTCCCAAAATGGATCTCCTCACTTGATAATCTGTTCAAAATTGTTCTGAAGTGGTCCAAGTTGCGCTACAGTCCACTGAATTCTCTTCTAGATCTGCATAACCTCATGGAGCTTCAGCTGGTTGATTGTTATGTGGGCGAGGAGTTGGTATTTGAACATTCGAGCTTCAAGAAACTAAAGAAATTGGTTATCGAAGAACTTTCAGAACTACACAAAATTGTGATTGAGAAAAATGCTATGCCTGAACTTCAACAAATATCACTCAGTAGATGTCAGAATCTGAAAATGCCTCCAATGGGCATCAGTAAACTTGCCAAAGTTGAAGAGCTAACACTGTATGACATGAACCAGGAATTTATAGCTACATTTAGAAAGGGTGGTGCAGGCCATGCAATGGTAGAACATATCCCCGTGATTCGTTCTTTCACCAGTATTGGCCCGTCCTCATCATTTGAGAATCTTTTTTATTTTCCTTGAATACAATGTGTTCTGTACTATTATGTTTATGAAGTTGTCAATCAATTTTCTCGTTTGGTTTACACTTGAATCTATGTATCATGTCCATGTAATGACTCTCTTTTATCACCATCTTTCAGGCATTTCATCAAACATTCTCACTACATCTCCCAAAACCTTACAAATTATGCACAAAAATACCAAATTCCTTATTCCAGATTAACTAAACTAAAAATTCAAAATTTGGAAACAAAACCAAGTCCATATCATCAACTAGATGAAAAATCAAATAAATTTCATAACAATTGGAACAAAAAACCAAACAAATTTCAAACTGTTCAGAAATAACTTATGGACTACTCCAACAAGCTCAGTCGATTCCGGACGAAATTGAGGCTGACTCATAATAGAACTAGATGCGTCTAGTTGTGAGAAATGTTGTGGTGGTGCTCCACGATCGGGAGGGTGGCCAGATGTGGAAGAAACTAGCGAAAAACCGTAACTGCACTCGCGGTTTTGGATGGGAATTGGGGTTGTTTCCTGCGGTCGGTGGGCAGGCGATGGTTGGAGGTTGTAGAGGGAGTGCCGATGTTGTGGGGGTTTGGCA